AATTTAAAATATAATAAAATTTTCAATACCATATTTAATATAATTAATTTACTAATAATTCATTATTTAAACTATGAATACAATATAATTTTGTCTACATTTTTCTCATACCATAAAAGTTTATAATATAATTTCAACTAACTAATCAAATTATTCTATACAAAAGATTAACAATATCTAAATATATAATTTTTAATATTAATTTGTTATAAATTACTTATCTCAAATTTAAATACAATGCACAAAATTCTTTTCATCTTTTATGTAACATATAATTTTTTACTATTTTTATAATTAAACAATGAAATAATTCTATCTAAACTTCTACACAATCCATATTTTTTTTTATACAAAACCGAAATACATTTTTACAGTTAATATTAAGAAACAATCAACTTGCTAAAACACAAATTAAATATAATATCAAGAGACATCAGCTACCAAAGACAAAATTAAAGATTTAACAACAATCTAGTTTACAATTTTAATTATTAAATACAAATTTTATTTTATTTATTTACTCAAAATACAAAATATTAAAAAAATTTGAAATAATAATAAAAAAATCAAAAAACTCACCTATGGAGTATATTGGAAATCAATATGGTTGTAGATGCTTATATCCAATGATAAAGGCTCTAGATTTGAAGAAATAGATGGTTAGAATGTTGAGAAAAGAAAAAGAATCAATCAGCGAGATCACCGGTGTCTGACTAGCCGGAAAATGTAACTTATTGTTGTGGCTAGCCAAAGATTTGTAGAAGAGATGCCTTACAGTGCAAAGGATGAAAAATGGGAGAAAGAGATAGAGGAAAACTGTAGAGGAGATCTAAGGGAGGGATGGGCAAAGCGAGGAAGAAGAAAGGCTTGCATGAAACAGGGCAGCCTTTATACGGATCGTTATTAGTCCGTATAACGCTGAGCCGTGGTCCCCAACATCAAATCGGATCAGCGATTCGCTAGGGCCATTTTTTGAACTGAATTTGGTCCGAAACAATTGGAAATATTTGGACCAAAATCGGTCCGAATATTCCAAACTTGTCAATCTATATGGTAATTCATAAAATAATATATACGAACCAATTTCAGTCTATATATATTATTTAAAATAATATTTTATTTCTAAAATTTTTTATTTAATAATTATTTTTTTGAGAAAAAATATTCAGACCATTTTTGGTCTGTATAATATTGGTGTGTTTTCCCTATTGTTGGTGCCAACAATATACAAATCGTTATCGGTCTAAATGTATTGATTAATAAAGTTGGCATCACCTCAATATATTCAGACCATTTTGGGTTCAAATATATATTTATACAAACCAATTGAAATCAGTTCATATATGTTCGGTTTGAATTACTCATTTTTCTAGTAGTGGATGAAACGTATTGCTATTGACCTTCATTTCGTTTGAGAATTAGTTGACAAGCAAATCTTATGAGTCTCTCATACTGCCTCTCGTGATCAGTCGGCAGATTCTTTTACTAAGTCACTTCATTCTCTTCATTTGCAAAACAAAATTGGAGTTGCCAATGGCACCTCCATCTTGCAGAGGAGTATTATAGAAACTGAATCTTCACATTAATTCATGGTGGTTCATATCAAAGGTTATCTTCCTTAATTTTGACTCAATGTTCTGTTTTTAATTATTGTATTAAAGATTGTATAGACTTTCTTTCATAGTAGGGTTGCATGCAAGGCAATTTATGTATATATAATTGGCTGTACATGTGAATAAAGCACCAATTCCAATTCTATTCTCTTGCCTCCTTTAAAAGCTATAAGGAAATAAGCACCTTTTATTTTTGTAAGGCTGGTGCTACCTTAAATTCTTCTAAGTTTCTTTGTGAGGGATGAGAAACCCCTCAAGGAAACTTGTATTTAGAGGCATAAGAGCTGAAGTAGTCTATGGAGTTGTCTCTTACTTCAAGAGGCAAGTGAAAGACTTACCAAGTTTTCAGTGGTTGTCTAAGTTTTCTTCCTATACTTTCCTCAGTTCATTACTCTAAGTAATTGCATTTTACTTAATCAAAGTTGAAGCAAATTTAGCCATGCATTATTGTCTTTGTAATACCCCAAAAATTCCTAGAACAATTAAGTGAGTTAGGGACCTAATTGTGAGAAAATAATATTGTTGAGCCTAATCACAAAATTTTCAAATCTTGAGGGACTTAAAAGAGGAAAGAAATTAGGATAAGGATGGCTGATTTTTTTTTCCTTCTTCCTTTCTTCCTCAGTCGCCTGATTTTGCTCTTCTTCTTCCCCCCTACAGTCAAACAAGGCCAAGCCACCGACCCACACCTCTTCTTGTAAAAAACGGTAAAAAGCTTGTGTTTTTCCCTTCTTTTCTTGTTCAAGAACAAGATTTGGAGCCTTGAAATCATTCCCCTCTGCAGAAATTTCGGATCTACTCTGCTTTGTTCCCCTCCGTCCGTTGCTCTGCTGTGTGTGGGTGTGATTTTTTCGGTTTCTGGTAAGGGGAAACAACCATTATTTCCTCTTTTCTTTCTTGAATCGGCTTGGGTTTACTCTAATTTTTGTTGGGTTCTCCAATTTTTGGTAGATCTCGAAAATTTCCCCTGCACTTCCCGTCGGCCTTCCCCAATCTGCAGCTCCAATTTTGCTTGCTAAATTCTGGTATGTGATAGTTCCATTTAAGTCCAAATTATCCATTAGTTGTTGAAATTATCCATAAGTTGCCACCCCTGTGTCGTCCGGATTTTTGTTGAATTAGGGGGATGAATTCCGGTAGAATTTGAACAAAATTTAAGCATTAATTCAAGAAGAATTTATGTGATTGAGTGTTAATTAGCTGTTGTGAGGTTCTGGAGAAAAATCCCGTGAAATTAACTATTGTTTTGCCAATTTTTGGAAGTTGTAGTTACTGTTCACTGCGTAATTCCTGTTCACGGGTACTGTTCATATGTACTGTTCACGAACTAATGGCCAACAATAGGAGGGTTTAAATGTTTAGTTTATATTGAGAATGAAATTGAGATGTCTGGTCATATGGTTATTAATTTTGGAATATTTTGATTAGGTTCTTGATTGTTCTGTCATCCAGCACTTGGAGTGAATTTTCTGTGTTATGTGACTGAGGTAAGTAAAAGTATGGTAATGCCTTTGGATTTGAGGTAAAGGTTTTTGAAAGCATATTTTTGATGGTTTTTGAAATGGTGGCGAGATTAAACCCGTTTTACCCAAACACGAGCATGATTGGTTTGAAATGAAATTTTTATCATTTTCATTGAGTTGAGCATGCTTACTTGAAGTTTACTTGACTGCCTTGATGATCTGAGAATTTTTTTATAAATTATGATGTTCCTATTAAATCCATGCCCACATGGAATTTTTCTGGCTTATTCTTGAAATTTGAGATTGATTGTGATTTACGGATTTTCCTGTAAATCCTGCATGGTTTTGTCTCTAATATAGTCATGATTACTGATTATTAATTACTGTGCCCGCTAGTGGGAGGTTTATAAATGCTAGCACATGTCGATATGTTTACCAATAGAACCGGTTCATTATTGAAATCCTACCAATGAGATAATACATTGATTATTATTGAAATCCTGTCAATGGGATAATACATTGGTTATTACTGACGCCTACCAGTGGGAGTTAAACATTGGCCATGACTTATAGATGAGACTACTACTGAAGCTTATTCTGCATTAACGGTTTATCATTAAACGCTTTGTTATTGACTTATAGATAAGACTACTACTAAATTTTGTTATGCATTAACAGTTTATCATTGAACATTTTGTTATGTTAAATTGTTTATCTAGCATGCTTAAATTTTACTCACGAGCTACCCATATTTTTACTTACTGAGATATTTTATCTCATAGTTTTTTCCTTGTCCACCACTTCAAGAAGTGAGACCCAAGGCACGGTTAACCAGGGGGAGTGATGAGCTAGACGGCTAGTTAGTATTTTGGACTTAGATTCTTTTTGACTTAGATTCTTTTTTACTTAGGCCGTTAGCCATAGCCACACATGTTTGACATAGATGTGAATTGATAAATCATATTTTTATGTATTGAGTTTCCTTGGTTATAACCATGACTATTTTATAAACTTTTGCACATCCGGGCTAGCAAATTTTTGGCAACTGAAAGCTAGTTATTAATCGAGTTTTTGATTTAAGTTATGTAAATTGGTAATTATGAATATAGTAAGTTCCGAGCCTTATGCATTTGTGGGTCCCGTTCACGAGTGCACGACATTTGTTTCGCTTTTGGTTTTGGGGCGTGACAGATTATGTAGTATCAGAGCCTAGGTTTAAATTAAATACCTAGGATTTGTTTAGAACTTGGCTAGCCAATGGTTTATAGGAACATGGTGAGACATGAGAGTGGGGTTGATTAAGGGCACCTGTTTGATTCTTTCTTTAATGTGTGTTGCATTTTAATTATTAGGTTTTTGGTCCCGAAAGTGGAAACTTGCCAAGAAATTCTAATTTGGGGCACTTGATTAATAGTCTATGAACCTTTTATGTGGTTATAGATGGCTCCAAAATAGCGTGGGCACTCGAGGCGTGGCTATAAGGATCAGATGCATCACACTCCTTTATAGCTCGATCTTATGCTTTGAAACGAGCCTTACCTATTGATACCTCCGATTTTGAACTGCATGTGGACACCCCTTTAGGAGGGGTGATGACTACTAGAGATGTGTGTAGGACTGTAGATATTTATATTGATGGTAGACAATTGAGTGCTAGCCTGTTTGTTTTAGATATCTCTAATTTTGACATCATTTTGGGGATGAATTAGCTATCAAAATATTTTGCCTCTATAGACTGCAACTGTAAATGGGTAATTTTTAATATTACTGAACACCAGAATTTAGTTTCCAAGGTAGTGGTTCCTTTGCTCCACCCATGCTGATATTGACCTTGTAGGCTCGAAAATATCTTATAAATGGTTGCCAGGGTTTCTTCATTTTTGTCACTGATGCTAGTAGTAGGACATGGAGACTAGAAGACATCCCCGTGGTGTGTGAGTTTCCGGATGTATTTTTGGAGGATTTCCCAAGTTTACCTCTAGATAGGGAGATTGAATTTGCTATTGATCTTGTTCCGGGCACTAGACCTATTTCCAAAGCCCCGTACCGTATGGCTCCTACGGAGTTGAAGGAGTTAAAGGTCCAGCTGGAGAAACTCCTTGAGAAAGGGTTTATACGACCTAGTGTGGTGTCACCTTAGGGAGCTCCAGTGTTATTTGTTAAAAAGAAGGATAGGAGCATGAGACTGTGCATAGATTACTAAGAACTGAATAAGGTGACTGTGAAGAGCCGATATCCCTTTCCTAGAATTGATTACTTGTTTGATCAACTTAAGGGTGCCCAAGTGTTTTCTAAGATTGATCTTTGATTTGGCTACCATCAGTTGAAGATTAAACCTGATGATGTGCCAAAGACTGCCTTCCATACCCACTATGGTCGCTATGAATTCCTGGTTATGCCTTTTGGCTTAACAAATGCCCTTGCAAGATTTATGGATTTGGTGAATCGGGTATTTAGCAAGTACCTAGATAAGTTTGTGGTTGTCTTTATTGACGACATTTTGATTTACTCTTCTAGCCATGCTCTTCACGAAAAGCACTTAAGGACAGTTCTCGAAACATTGAGAAGTGAAAGGTTGTTTGCTAAATTTAAGAAGTGTGAATTTTGGCTAGATAGTGTTACATTCCTAGGTCACGTTGTGACTAAGGATGGAATCTCTATTGACCCCCAGAAGATTGAGGTCGTGGTGGATTGGAAAAGGCTGAATAGTGTTGCAGAAGTCCGTAGTTTTCTGGGATTGGCTGGTTATTACCATCGATTTGTGGGGGATTTTATTAGAATTGCTCTGCCAATGACCCGTCTGGTTAGGAAGGGCACAAAATTTGAGTGGACTCCAGAGTGTGAGAAGAGCTTTTTGACCTTTAAAGAGAAATTGGTCATTGCTCCTATACTTGCACTTCCCGTCAATGGGGAAGGATTCATTATATATAGTGATGCCTCTAAAAAGGGTTTGGGATGTGTCTTGATGCAGAAAGATAAGGTTATTGCATATGCTTCACGGCAGTTAAAGCCTTATGAAGAAAATTACCCTACCCATGATCTAGAGTTAGTAGCTGTGATGTCTGCACTCAAGTTCTGGAGGCATTATCTATATGGTGAAACCCGTGAAATTTTCACTGATCACAAGAGTCTCAAGTATATTTTCACTCAAAAGGAGCTTAACATGAGGCAGAGGCGATGGCTTGAACTTTTGAAAGATTATGACTTGACCATTAGCTACCATCCAGGCAAAGCCAACAAAGTAGCAAATGCATTGAGTAGGAAGTCCTCTAGCATCATTGCCACCCAGAAGGAGTTACTTGAGGATCTTGTGAAACTGGATGTGGAGTTGAGAGTGGACAGTACTACAGCTTATCTAGCTGCTCTCAGGGCACAACCGGCATTAATTGATAGAATTAAAGTTGCCCAACAAAAAGATCCTTTCTTGCAAAGGTTGAAGAAAAAAGCAAAGGCGAGGGAACCTCACATGCAAGAATTCAGTGTTTTTGACGATGAGACTCTATGGTTTGGTGACAAGCTGTGTGTACCAAGAGATCATGCATTAAGGCGTGAGATTATGGGAGATGCCCATAATACTAGCTACACAGTTCACCCAGGTAGCACCATGTATTGTGACTTGTATAATACATTTTGGTGGCAGAATATGAAGAGAGAGATAGCTAGATTTGTCTCACAATGCCTGACTTGCCAGAAAGTCAAGGCTGAACACCAAAGACTTCCTGGGAAACTGTAGCCGTTACCTATTCCCCAATGGAAGTGGGAGAATATCACCATGGACTTTGTGACGAGTTTTCTGCGAACCTTAAAGGGAAATGATTACATCTGGTTCATCGTTGATCGATTGACCAAGTCAGCACTTTCTTATCTTATTGAACTGGCACATCCATTGAGAAGCTTGCCAATATCTACATGAGTGAGATAGTCAGGCTACATGGAGTCCCTGTGTCTATTGTGTCAGATAGAGATACAAGATTCTTATCTCATTTTTGGATAAGCTTGCAGTAGGCACTTGGTACTTAATTAAATTTCAGCACAGCCTTCCATCCTCAAACTAACGGGCAATCTAAGAAAACTATTCAGATACTTGAGGACATGTTGAGGGCTTGCGTTCTAGATTGGAAGGGTTCATGGGATCAACACTTATCCATGGTTGAATTTGCCTATAATAATAGTTACCAGTCCAGCATCCGCATGGCACTGTTTGAGGCTTTGTATGCTCGAAGGTGTAGATCATCTGTTTGCTGGGCAGAGGTAGGTGAGAGAAGCATATTGGGCCCAGAATTGGTGCAACAGTCTTCTGAGATTGTGCAATTGATCGAGGAACGCCTTCGTGTTGCACATAGTAGGTAGAAAAGCTATGCGGATAGAAGGAGACGAGACCTTGAGTTTGAAGTTGGTGACCATGTATTTTTGAAGGTGTCACCCACTTGAGGTGTCCTCAGGTTTGGCATCCGGGGAAAATTGATTCCGAGGTATATTGGACCATATCCTATCCTGGAAAGGGTTAGCGAGGTAGCTTACCAATTGGAGTTGCCTGGAAATTTAGCGGGTGTTCACGATGTGTTTCATGTGTCTTTACTTCGAAAATATATTCCCGACCCGAGCCACATCATTCATCCCAAACCCATTCAACTTCGAGAAGATCTCACTTATGATGAGCACCCGATCCGTATTTTAGATTTCAAGGAGATGGTAATGCGAAGAAGGACCATTCGTTTTGTTAAAGTCCTCTGGGATAACCATTCGGTTGAAGAAGCTACTTGGGAGTTGGAATCCAAGATGAGGCAGGAACATCCGCACCTCTTCCAAGATTGAGGTATGAGTTTAGGGGACTAAACTCCTTTTTAGGAGGGGTGGATGTAATACCCCAAAAATTCCTAGAACAATTAAGTGAGTTAGGGACCTAATTGTGAGAAAATAATATTATTGAGCCTAATCACAAAATTTTCAAATTTTGAGGGACTTAAAAGAGGAAAGAAATTAGGATAAGGATGATTGATTTTTTTTTTCCTTCTTTCTTTCTTCCTTAGCCGCTCGATTCTGGTCTTCTTTTTCTCCCCTACAGCCGAACAAGGCCAAGCCACCAATCCACACCTCTTCTTGAAAAAACGGTAAAAAGCTTGTGTTTTTCCCTTGTTTTCTTGTTCAAAAACAAGATTTGGAGCTTTGAAATCTTTCCCCTCTGTAGAAATTCTAGATCTGCTATGCTCTGTTCCCCTCCATCCCCTGCTCTGCTGTGTGTGGGTGTGATTTTACCAGTTTCTAGTAAGAGGAAACAACCATTAATTCCTCTTTTTTTTCTTGAATTGGCTTGGGTTTACTCTGATTTCTGTTGGTTTCTCCAATTTTTGGTAGATCCCAAAAATTTCCCCTGCACTTCCCGTCGGCCTTCCCCAATCTACAGCTTTGATTTTGCTTACTAAATTCTGGTATGTGATAGCTCCATTTAAGTTCAAATTACCCATTAGTTGCTGAAATTATCCATGAATTGCCGCCCCTGTGTTGTCCAGATTTTTGTTGAATTAGGGGGATGAATTCCGGTAGAATTTGAACAAAATTTAAGCATTAATTCAAGTAGAATTTATGTGATTGATGTTAATTAGCTGTTGTGAGGTTCTGGAGAAAAATCCTGTGAAATTAGCTATTGTTTTGCCAATTTCTGTAAGTTGCAGTTATTGTTTACTTCATAATTACTGTTTACGGGTACTATTCATAGGTACTGTTCACGCACTAATGGCCAACAATAGGAGGGTTTAAATGTTTAGTTTATATTGAGAATGAAATTGAGATGTCCAATCATATGGTTATTAATTTTGGAATATTTTGGTTAAGTTCTTAATTGTTCTGTCACCCCAACACTTGGAGTGAATTTTCTATGTTATGTGACTAAGGTAAGTAAAAGTATGGTAATGCCTTTGGATTTGAGGTAAAGGTTTTTGAAAGCATATTTCTGATGGTTTTTGAAATGCTTGCGGGATTAAACTCGTTTTACACAAACAAAAGTATGATTGGTTTGAAATGAAATTTTTATCATTTTCATTGAGTTGAGCATGCTTACTTGAAGTTTACTTGACTGCCCTGATGATCTGAGAATTTTTTTGTAAATTATGATGTTCCTGTTAAATCCATGCCCACATGGAATTTTTCTGGTTTATTCTTGAAATTTGAGATTGATTGTGATTTACAGATTTTCTTGTAAATTCTGCATGGTTTTGTCTCTAATATAGTCATGATTACTGATACTAATTACTGTGCCTGCTAGTGGGAGGTTTATAAATGCTAGCACATGTTGACATGTTTACCAATAGAACCGGTTTATTACTGAAATCCTGCCAATGGGATAATACATTGGTTATTACTGAAATCCTGCCAATGGGATAATACATTGGTTATTATTGATGCCTGTCAGTGGGAGTTAAACACTAGCCATGACTTATAGATGAGACTACTACTGAAGCTTATTCTGCATTAATGGTTTATCATTGAACGCTTTGTTATTGACTATAAGACTACTACTAAATTTTGTTATGCATTGACGGTTTATCATTGAATGTTTTGTTATGTTAAATTGTTTATCTGGCATGCTTAAATTTTACTCATAGGCTACCCATATTTTTACTTACTAAGATATATTATCTCATAGTTTTTTCCTTGTCCACCATTTCAAGAAGTGAGACTCGAGGCACGGTTAACCAGGTGGAGTGACGAGCTAGATGGCTAGTCAGTATTTTGGACTTAGATCCTTTTTGACTTAGGCCGTTAGCCACACATGTTTGACATAAATGCGAACTGATAAATCATTTTTTTGTATACTGAGTTTCCTTAGTTATAGCCATGACTGTTTTATAAACTTTTGTACATCTAGAGTAGCAAATTTTTGGTAACTGAAAGCTAGTTATTAACCGAGTTTTTGATTTAAGTTATGTAAATTGGTAATTATGAACACAGTAAGTTTCGAGCCATGTGCATTTGTGGGATCCATTTACGAGTGCACGACGTCTATTTCGCTCCTAGTTTTGGGGCGTGACAATCTTTGACACGTTATTGTGAATTAATTAATCTCAATGAGATGTCCATCTAGAATACCTAGAGATTTCCCCTTTTTTGGTGAAGCCGTATTGCTTCAAATTGAATTTAAGGTTTTATTCACATTTTTACTGCCTTGTGTTCAATCTTCGGAATGTTCAGGTACGGGAGGGTGCGTTACAAGGTAACTGCAAGAAACCTTTAGCCTTTGAAAAAATCATTGATAAACTATGATTAATAAAATTTTATGGTTCTCAATTATTGTATATTCAAAATAAGGCCAAAATGTGGCATATATTTTAGTTTATGTATGTGAAATATATAGTATAGTTGAGGTTTTTTCACATTAGTGATTAACAATGCAACTTAAATTTTATTAGTAGCAAATCTATTTTCAATATAATACTAAAATATGGTTAAAAGTTTTTCTAAATTTACCTTAGACCATCAATTTTTTCTACACATTAATTGTCTGGGTAGCAATTTAATTAAATTTGACTAATGTTTTGGCAAACTTTTAAATTTGATTTTTTGTTTAAAGTACAAGTGAAAGCATAAAATTTAGGGATGAGTGCTCTAATTTTAAATTCGAGGAAATTATCTTTTATTGTTTTATTTTGTTTTTACTTGGCTTTTTCTTCTTTTTATTTTCTTAGCACCTCTTCATTTATCTATACTTCACTTTTTATTAATTTCCTTATGACACTATCTCTTACCTTAACTTCACATATTTTATTATTATATTTATATATCCACGTATATTTGTCTTACATTCTCTCTTTTCATATTAATAAATTTATTTGTCATTATTCTTTTTCCCTTCATTCTCCTACTATATTATTCTTTTTTTAATCACTCCTAGCACTTCTATTGATAAGTATATATATATATATATTTTATTCCAATTCTCTCTCTTGTTATCTATATAAGACATGCTCAAAGCCAAAACTTAAGTGTCATAACCTTTTAGTATTATTTCATTGATACCTTTTTACTTTTATACTAATTACTCTTCTTGTCACACCCCAGAACCCAAATTCGAGGGTGTAACAAACGCCGTACACTTGTAAGAGGGTCCCACAAATACACAAGACTCGAAACTTATCATACCACAATCTGATACCACAAAATCTGAAGATAAAATTTTAAAATTTACCTTTATATCATAAAATCTCCAAATAAATTCTAGCTTACAAGATAATGATTTATATCTAAAATCTATGTTCAATTGACAAGATGGCTACCCTTCTAACTCGTCACTCCCCTCATTTTTCCCCGTCCTTGACTTCGCTTCCTGAAATGGTGGACAAGGAAAAACTATGAGATAACTCAGTAAGTAAATATGGATAACCCGTGGGTAAAATTTAAACATGCTAGATAAACAAGGTAGACATAACAAAATGTTTAATGATAAACCATCCCTGCATAATAAAATTCAGTAGTAGTCTCATCTATAAGTCATGGCCAGTGTTTAACAAACTCCACTGGCAAACACCAGTAATAACCAGTGTTTAATAAACTCCCACTGGCAAGCATCAATAATAACCAACGTATTGTCCCATTAGTAGGATCACAAAATGAACCGGTCCTATCGGTAAACATGTCGACATCGACATGTGCTAGCGTTTACAAACCCCCACTAACGAGCGTCAGTAATTAGTAATCATAACTATATCAAAGACAAAACCATGCAGGATTTACAGGAAAAATTTGAAATTCACAATTAGTCTCAAATTTGCGTAATTCACAATCAATCTCAAACTTCATAATTAAACCGAAAATTCCCATGTGGGCATGGATTTAACAAAAAATCATGGTTTACAAAAATTCTCAAATCATCAGAGCAGTGAAGTAAATTCCAAGTAGGCATGCTGTACTCAATGAAAATGAAAATAATTCCACTTCAAACCAGTCATGCTCAGTGCTAATGAAATCAATTTAAACCTTGCCACCATTTCAAAAACAATTTAAAACGTGCTTTGAAATCGAAGGATGTTACCATAATTTACTTACCTCAAATCATGTAATATCGAAAACTCAAGCCAAGTGCTCGGGTGACAAAACACTCAAGAACCTAATCAAAATACCCCAGAATAAATACCGTACTACACAATTCAAAGTGAAAACATCATTAGGATCACCTCCTAATCAAGATGCTATTTATATTAACCTCCACTTGACCGGACACCTCTAATTTCATTCTTATTAGAAACTAAACATTTAAACCTTCCTATTACTGGCCATTAGTGCGTGAAGAGTAATATGTGAACAGTAATATGTGAACAGTACCCATGAACAGTAATCACGTAGTGAACAGTAATTGCGACTTCCAGAAATTTGGCAAAACAATAGCTAATTCATGGGATTTTTCTATATAAACCTCACAGCAGCTAAATCAAGAGATTTCTACATGAATTAAACTAAGACAAATCATCTCACTGCTGTTGGAATTCTTCCCTCTTTCAACAAAAAATTCGAACAGTACAAGGGCAAATCAAGGCAGAAAATTCGAAGATTCAGGGCAGCAATTAATTGATAAAAATTCAGGCTTAAGGAAGCTATCATCTTACCGAAATTTTTCGACAAGCAGAGAACCAGATCTGGCGGGTATGGCAGGAACGGGATTGGCAGAGAACGGAAAAAGCCCAGAACTTTGTACCACAAGTTGCAGCTCGCGGACAGGGGAGGAAGAGCAGAGCAGATATGGAAATTTCTCTGCAGGGGAAGATTTCTGGGTTCTATATGTGTTCTAGAACAAGAAAAGAAGGAGAAATCCCCAAGCTTTTACCGATTTTTTTTTTTCAAGGGGAGGTGCAGTCGGTCGCTGGGGCTCTTTGCCGGCTGTAGGGGAGAAGAAGAAGAGCAGGACGCACGGATAAGGAAGAGGAAAGAAAGAAAAAAATTCAGCCATCCTTATCCTAATTTCTTTCCTCTTTTAAGTCCCTCAAGCTTAGAAATATTTTGTCATTAAGCTCAATAATATTATTTCCTCACAATTAAGTCCCTAACTAAATGCTAAAATATCAAAAAATTTGGGATATTACACTTCTTGTTTTTCTTGTAATAACATCTTTTAATTTGTTTTTTCACTTTTTCCCACTCTAAATTATATCTATCCTTACTTTCCCTTTCTATATTAATAATTTGTTGGTTATTATTATTTCTCTTCTTATCCTCCTCTAATATAATTCTTGTTTGATCACCCCTTGTATCATCATCTATCATAATTCATTATAGATCTTTTAACCCAATTTCTCTCTTTCTATCTATTATTAAATTATTTTTTTTTTGTTTTCTCATGAATAGGACAATAACATATAAATATCTTAAAATTACAAATAATTTAGTAATAGTATATATAATAAATTTATAAACATATCAACAAAGTTATAAATTTTAATCAATATGTCACGCCCCAGAACCCAGATCCAAGGGCGAAACAGATGCCATACACTTGTGAGAGGATCCCACAAATGCACAAGGGTCAGAACTTATTAAATTCATAACTACAATCCATGGAACAATTTTGCAAAAATCTGAAATTAAAATTCATTCTGCAAACCTAATTACAAAATAAGCTAAGTCCGAATATATGTGGCTAGTCTAACTCCAAGATAATCCAAGTCTGAAACACAAATGGCTAGCCTTTTAGCTCATCACTCCCCTTAGTTTTCCCACATCTTTGGTTTTAGTACTTGAAATGGTGGACGAGGAAAAATTCTGTGAGATAACTCAGTAAGTAAAAATATGGATAGCCCTTATTTAATGTATAAAGCATGCTAACAAGTGTAATCAAGTATCAAGAAAAATGGGTTCAAGTACGGGAATGAACTAGACGTCTCCTTTATCGGTCATAGCCAGTGTTTATAAACCTCCCACTGGTGGGCATAGTAGTAACCAGTGCATTATCCCACTGGCAAGAATACAGGATGAACCAGTTCCTAGAAATACATGTCAATATGTGCTAGCGTTTATAAACCTCCCACTAGCGGGCACAATAAAACATGACCATATTGGAGACAAAACCAAGTAGGATTTAACACGAAAAATCATAATTTACAAATAATTCCTAAATCATCAAAGCAGTTAAGTAAACTCCAAGTAGGCATGCTCAACTCAATGAAAATGATAATAATTTCATTTCAAACCAATCATGCTCGTGTTTGTCTAAAACGGGTTTAGTCCCGCCACCATTGAAAAAACCATCAGAAATATGCTTTCAAAAACCTTTATCTCAAATCCAAAGGCATTACCATACTTTTATTTACCTCTTCTTGTAGGCTTACAATAGCAAGTATTCACCGTTTCAAGGAGATGGTGGTGACTTAGAACCTATTTCATAATCAAGAACAACAAGGTCACAACATGCCTCATTCAACTAAAATTGATCTTTAATTCTAGCACCAAATTCTATCCCAAAGGAACAATTTCCCCCTATCTCCTCTTGCCATTCTACCCACCAAAACCTTACTAGTATATATATATATAGCTCACACGCATAGTCATATAAAAATTTCCAAAGATGGCAGCTGACCTTCCAACATTCTTGGCAAGGAGCAACAAAACTTCGCAAATGGCAAAAAAATTTTTGGGAAAAATAATGCAGAAAATAACAAGGAAAAATGCAGCAAAATGCAGAATTTTTTTGGGAAAAATAAAAAATTCTCTGGTTTAAAAACAGTGCAGAAATAGCTGGGGAAATGCAGCAAAAATGCAGTAGCAAAACAGCCAAGATTGCAAAAAAATGCAATAGCAAAACAGGTTGTAGAAACTGCAATGAATTCTGCACCACAACATGTACAAATCTTGGACACAAACAGTAGATAGTTCAAGACAAAAAAAACAGCAGCAAAACACTAGACAAACACTGCCACAATCTTTCAAGAAAATAAGGAATGGAATACCCTATAAATCCTATGCTATTTCCCCAAATCTAAAATGGTCAATATTCAACTAAATCTACCAAAATTAGAGAAAGAACAAGATCGGTTTCATGCTCACATCTTACCAGAAAATTGAGAGAAAGAGAGACAGTCCCTCCTAAAATGGAAACTCGAAAGGCAGAGACAACTGGAACTTGAGGGGGGACTAGCATCTGCTTGTCGAAAAGAGAAACCCAAGGCTGTTGAAGGCAACATGATGCACTAAAATCACCCTAGCAAGTGTACTAGTCGCTCCAAGTAATATAATAATGAGAAGATTGTCAAACCCATGAGGATTGTGTCTAACTAAGTACCAAAATAATTAATCCAAATTTATTTGAACAACCAAATGGGAAGAAAGTTTAACTAAAAAAATAATAAAAAGAAAATAACAATTAAATTAAACCTAACCAAGATATGAGATACTAAGGCATTGACTTCACCAAAATCAATCAATATAAATTTTGGATTACTAAATTGTTGAGTGTTATTGCATGTGATGGCGGATTTCCCTAAATTAATTAACTAGCTTTCTCAAGTCAAATTAATCATTCATTGGTTTGTTAAATTAATCATATCTCTATGTAATTTTAAACAAACCAATGAGCATTAGATTCTATGGAAACCTCTAACTTAAGAAGGGGAAGCTACTAACTCTCTTCTCTTCCTCCACTACCACATGTGAGCTAATTACCTCTCGGTCTCATAGTCTTGCACACGGTTTATATTATTATTGGTCTAATCTACGCAATTATTTCTCAAGTTCATGCATAAATCACTAAATCAATTGAAAGGTGATCTGACTTCCAATGCATTAAGTTCAATAATATAAACTCCTCATGCAAATAACTTTAATTGAAAGCATAAAATCACTAAATCCATATTGAATTGATTAGGCTACATCGTAACCCTAGTAGAATAAATCAGTTTATAATAAAAATAATAAAATCTACAATCATAGTTATGAACAAGGAAGAATAAAACCCAATTTGAGAAAATTGCAATCTTTGATCTTCTATTGTTGAATCTTCTATCTTGACCTCCAAGAATGCTCAAAAGAGGGATACCACAAGCCTCTCAAAAACTCTCTTAATTCTGAATTTGGATGGGTATTTATAGGATTTTAGAAACCCTAATTAAAATAAAAGTAGGACTTGGAACAGAAATAGGAAACTGAATTTTGGATGCTGATCGCGTGGTGCTGACACTTCGAATTACGTGTTGACACAAAATAGGAAACAGAATGTGATTCTGGACATTTAACGCATGGTATCGACACCATGATCATGTGTTGACACTACACTCGTGTCGGGTTTCTGGTCTCCTTTTGCAATTTCTTCAATGGTAAAATAGCAGATTTGGTTCCTGACTTCTAGATTCTGCACAAGTTGATCCTCAAGTCTCTGATCTCTTCAATTTACTTCAAAAAAGTAGGATTTCTTCCAATTAAATCTTTTCATACACAAAGGATGAAAACCATGTAAAATTAAACAAAATCCCATAAAACTCATCCAAATATCAATAATATCAAAGTAAAAATTCCCTATTAATATGTATATAAATTTAGCTCATCACAACACGCGACTGCGGTGGAGTGGGGAACAATGAGTTATTACTTAAGGGATTTATGAGATGTGGGTGAGAGGGTTTGGAGGAGCAGGATTGGTGATGAGAGTTGGTGAAGGATGGAAGATGGTGGTGACGAACTGAGGATGGTGGGGGATGAGTTAGGGTTTCAAAACAAGAAGAAAAAT